CCGCGGCTCGCCTTCGCGGCTTTGCTGTTACCGTCCACCTTCCAGCTCAGCTTCCAGTCGGAGGGGAAGCCCTTGTTGGCCAGACACATCAGGGTGGCCGTTTTCTTGCTGGACACCTCCACACTGGAGGGGGGCAGGACCGTCAGGGTGGGGGCTGTGTTACCTAGGGGACACCAAAGAGACTTTAGGTCAGAGTCCGATATAAACTTTGTTAATTATATATATATATATATATATATATACTGTAATAACACATACAAACTGCAAAAGCCACACTGGGCTCAATCAGTGTCGACAGCATTGCTGCTCCATAAATATGTAAAGCAGTGGTTCTCAACCTTTTTTGCTCTGCCGCCCAATTTTTAACCACTCCAGCTCACCCTATATCAATTATAGGTCTAAATTGACGCTATATGATAAAGCGCACAGTGCACTTTGCAATTTACGCCAATCAATGACCATCACACAAATCTGACTGGATTTGCCAGTGAATTTTGAATCAATTAAATTACATTAATTAATTTAAATTAAACTGTGGTTTGGCTTCTTGGATTGGTTGAATATTCACTAGTTTTGCGCTAAACATATGCAGACCCAAGACCCGTTTACATTGGTTAATTCTAGGATTGGTGCTGGGAAATCTGATCGTGTATCAGCATAGGACCTTGCTGGTTTTAAAATGCGTACATTTCCAACTCTGCCTCGCGACCCGTTCAGAACTTGCAGCAACCCAAATTTGGCTCGCGACCCTCGGGTTGAGAATCACTGATGTAAAGCATGACAGTAGATTCAGTAGGCTGAATCTATAATTGCATAAATATTTCTTTATATAATAAAACGGACGACTCCGTAAATTAAATAATACTAAATAACGTACGTTGCCTTCGTTCCATATAAGTTTCCATCTGAGGTTAGAAACCAGTCTGATTTTTCTGTAATACTTATTTAAACAAAAATTTACAGTACGTGTGAGGTATTAAAATCTAAAATATCACCTGTTATTATGTTCAACGGATTAAACTTCATTAAATCGCATTTATAATCATTAAGATATATTTTCCATACCGTCGTCGTTGATCCACACATTTAGACACTATTTAACATAATGCGAAGTACATTACGCAACATATATACCATGTACAGTAAGTTGAAAAAGTAAAGAAAAATGCATCGGAAATATTTAAGTACAAATTAGTATCAATGGAACAACTATAATCGTTATTAGCTGCTCGCATATTTCTACCTGTCAAAATCGCATTATTTCGTTAATTCTTTTATACGTAAGTCTCGACATGCTATTGCTCATCCAGAGTACGGACTGATCTGAATTAATTCCAGTATTCAAACATTAATATAACAAAGAGACGCACTTACTTCCAACGTCCAGCCTGGTACCGCCGCCGAAAGTTAACCACAGTGATTCAGAACGCATCAGTCGCCGTACAAAAACCTCACAGCAGCGTACGTAGTACAGGCAACTAACAAACCGATCGACATACAGTACCTAATTTTCGTCTATATGGGTATAAATCTACCGAGTCAAAAATAGTATTTTCTTACACTTAGGCAAACTAAAAATGCTGAAAACTGGCTAAAGGCGTATTTATATTATTATATTATCAACAACTCATGTTTACATTATCTGATCACCATATAAGAATTCTTAGCATTAACAATAATAAAATTTACGTGTATACGTGTATGTATGTATGTTAAAGATTTCTACGTGCATATTATAGATTAAAAGCTGGATACTTACTGCCAATATCCAGTCTGGTCCCGCCGCCGAAGGTTCTCCACAGTGATTGAACCTGATTGAGACGCCGTACAAAAACCTCCCAGCTCTACGACCGCGTCTCTGATTACATGTATACAGTAAAGGCATTAATGGGTCAATTAATACTCTATGAATACCCATATTTAACAAGACACTCGTGAGAGTTATCTTTCTCAATTTTTTAACATAAGAACCACTGTAATTTTTAACACATTGACTGCTAAAACCAGTATTGCTTTTTATAATCGTAAACTGTGAATCTTAAAACGAATACGGTGGATTAAAGTAGTCCCTGGTGCTCCGGTATTTCTTCATAATGTCCTCTAAATTGATGCTTTATACCAATTTTATGCTATGCGTGAAGCCTCTCGGCTGCACCTTCAAAATAATTTACTATATTATTTCCTCGGTGACTTGCATATTACATATTACACAGGAGGGAAATTGAATCTAGTCATCCAGTGGTCAAACCCTGACCCCTGGTGATCGGAGGAATTATAACACCAACGTAAAAACATAACTCGGCGTGCAAGATAAAAAAAAATAATAATAAAATAATCATGTATCTCGGATTTCGCTGGCTCCGTATGAGCAGGAGATCCAGATCCAATAGACCCCATTGCCATTGTTCAAATGAGTGAGAGTAGTGTGCAGAATGTGTCAGTGAACCTAACTGGGCAATATGCAGACTGAATCGGATCAATGGTACATGTCATAGCACTGAGAGTATTCATCGGACAGCACAGCATGCTGGACTGGTGCCACCCTTGTAAATAATGTAAAAAAGTGGGACTGGAGGGCGATGAGGAGACTCATGGACAGGAACAGGTGGATGACAAGGACTCTACAGGGTGAGCATGGACAGGGGCAGGAACAGAAATGACAACTGGAATGACTGCCACAGATGGTGTGACCTCATCTGGCTCTTTGGAGACCGAAACTTGGCCTGTCTTTCACCTGGTTCCCTTCTGGTGACAGTGATGGTCCAAAGACTCAGGACAAGGGCATTCTGAGTCCTGGATGGAGGAAGGGCCCCCCGGAATGGGAGTGCAAGACCCAGAAGGTCCCACACTAAGTCATCAAGCAGGACATCCTCTGGGTCCAAGTCATCAAGGCTGGTGGTGGCCACCAGGCGGCCATGGCAAGGTGGAAGCCTGGATGACCACTGCAACATCGCGATGGGCACAGGCGGGCAGCCCCGCAGAGAGGAGGCGGAACGAGGCAGCTCACCTTAGGCTAGAAGCCTGAAGTGTATGTGAGATCTCTTCTGGACTGGATGTTAATGGAGTGCTTGAAACATCTTCTGGGCTGGGTGCTAGCAGGGTGACAGTTAGACATGGTGAGGCAGCAGTCTCCCCTGGGCCGAGTGCCAGTGGGCAGATGGGGAGTGCATCCAGGCCGAGTTCTCCTGGGCTGGGCACAGCAGTGGCCTCTCCTGGGCCAGGTGTGGCAGCGGCCTCTAAATTACCCAGTTCCAGGTAGGGATGCACCGAATCCAGATTTTTGGGGTTCGGCCGAATACCGAATCCACTGTTTAAGATTCGGCCGAATCCGAAACCGAATACCGAATCCTACTCGTATCCTTATTTCATTAACACAGTAAAACACATTAATGAAGTAAACAACGTCCACAGCAGTGTATTTTTATTTCATTTTATTTTATTTATTTTATAAACTGAAAAAAAATTAAAAAAAATAAAAGAATAAAAAAAGAATAAGCAGCAACATTATGCCAGGATGACAAGTGGGAAAAACTATTTTGACAATTACCTATGCTTACCCAAGTTCAAACCAAAACCTGTCAATAAAAGTGCAACAATGCAAAGAAAAGTGTTTTTCTTTTTTTAAATCAGAATATGTTTGGTGACTTAACTGAAATTAATGTTATTGAACATTTACTCAATAGGCTAAACATGGATAGTAGGGCTGTTTAGTTTTCGTTTATAACAGTAGGCTACGATTAGAACAGTAGCCAAATAAAACGAAAAATATTACGGAAGATCACACACATCTTCTGCATCATTATTAAATTAACGGAAAAGCTCTAACCTTTCACATTAAATGAGAGTTTCCTTTCAAAAAGACAAGACGCTCGGCATTAACGGGTGACAGCCGGTTGCGAGTGTGGGAACGAATGTCCCCAGCAGTACTGAAAAGTCTTTCACTGGGCACAGAGGTCGGTGGCGCACAGAGGTAGATCTTTGCCGTTTTTGCCAGCAGTGGAAAACTGCTGCATGAATGGCTTTAGCTCGTGTGTGATCTGAGGACCACTAGCTGTTTGTTCGGTGTAGGGCTAGCAAAGCTAGTAATGGTCGTCTGGTTATCACACGTTTTTAGCTGTGACTGTCCAGCTGCCGTACCTGAAGTTGCTGCATTTTGGCTGCTGTCTGTAGATTCCTTCATGCACAACTCGTATTCTTTTGGATGTTTTAGACGCAAATGTTTTAACATCGGCGATGTTGTGTACTGCTTAGGGTCCTTGCCACCACGAGACAAATTGGCATTGCAAATTGAACATAAAGCTCGACTTGAATCGCCTTCTTTTGGTTGAAAGTACTGCCAAACAAAACTTTTTTTGCTTACGAGTTCCATTTTCAGATTCTTACAGCCTACTACATTCGAACGGGTCCTATGTAAACACCTTCACGTAATCAACGGCCGTGTGACGTCGTAGTGCAAGTCTAGGGTTCGGTTTCGGTGGAAAATAAATCTAAGGTTCGGCCGAAACCGAGCCCCGTCAAAAAGCCCAGGATTCGGCCGAATCTGAAGCCGAATCCTGGATTCGGTGCATCCCTAGTTCCAGGGAGCCGACAGACACTGTGACCAGGATTATGGATACGGCGGCAGTCTCACTGGGATCGGCTTTCACCAGCATCCTTTTCTTTTTGCGTTTGAATCACCTGGCAGGTGCAGGCTCCACCGGTAGGAGAGACTTACTCAGTCGAGGGGGAGAGAGCGGTGACAGGGTTTTGGAGGATGAACTGGCCGATCCATCTTCCTTATCATACGGAACATCTGTCTCGTTCTCTCTGCGATCTCATCAACCTCTTGAGGCTGGGAAGTCAGGGTTACCCCTGCCAAATCTCGGGCAAGCTGAGTTCGCAGTGTGGTTGCTTTGGAAAAAGCCTGAACATCAGGACTCTCCAGCAGCTGCCAGTACAGCCCCTGGGAGGTGAAGAATGTCTTAGGCAAGGTGCTTGAGGATGGACCGGTTATACCAGGGGAGGAAGGAACGGGGAGAGGCGTCTTAGGGTTAGGGTTAGGGTTAACCCTAACCCTAACCCTAACCCTAACTCACGGACCACGACTCCCAAACTGCACAGGCTCGGATCATCATCGTCTGGCTCTCCTTCTTGCTGCCTGCACCAGTTGGACTCAGATACCAGCTGTAATTCCCCAAAGGTAAAAGACTAACCGGGAAGGTCTGAGCTTGTGCGGGGGTCTGCCCAGTAGATGTGCGAGTTGCTAAAATGGGCATTCTCCAGGATCAGTCTGGGGATTGACTCACACAAGTCACAGTGGTCACAGATAAAATAAGGGCTACATTCATTGACCATGTTATCAATCATGGACTCTCTTTCAGAGAGGCAGGGTTAGAAATCTGTGGCGCAGTTACATCAATCATAATTTTCCACCAAACCAACAGGTAAGATGCATATCCTTCACTAGTGTCAGACAGAACTGCATATTACAGTATGTACCATATATAGTACATTGACATACTTTGAGTGTTGCTTTTCATCTATAGGACCCAAAGATTACCTTGCACAAGGGGCAGAGACAGAATTTTCAACGATGAACAGGAAACTATTATTGTTGACATGGTCACTGCTAACAATGCAATAAGTCTCCTGGAGATCCAAGACAGAGTTCTGGCAGACAACACAGTATTTGAGTGGGTGGCAAGTATCAGCATTGCAACAATTGCCAGAGTCCTACAAAAGCATAAATTAACCATGAAGTACGGTGGCTGAGAATGCCCAGCGAAATTCAAAATAAAGAAATGCACGTCTGATAGAGAAATGCGCTGCAAAGCAACAAAGCATATTAAGTTCATAACGAACCTCCAAACACAATGCAGATTTATAGACGCTACACAAATTAAGAAAACACTTTCATCAAAATGACAACACATGCGAACCACATTTTATAACCACGCTGCACATTCACAGACACGCCGCAAATACAAAAAACAACCGCAACTTCGGAACCGCGCTGCAACTAACAACAACACAACGGAAGTGTTTCTGGAGGACACTTTTCCCGGGCGTACTTTTCAATAGAGCCAATGGCGAAAAGTAAGTTACAGTGGAAACTGCTTATAGTGATCACGGTTATAATGACCAACCACTTACATGTATCAAAAAGCTTGGGACAGAATAAATTTTGTACAAATACTGTTTAAATAATTCGTTTTTAGTAGTCAAGTACTCTGCTTACAGTGTCTATTTAAACATGACAACATTTGGAGAAAAAAAATAACTTTAATTTTTAACTTTACTTTGATGGCCCTACTTTGCCTTGCTGCGGTCCGTCTGCTTCTGTCTAGCTACCTATAACCACTTAACCTGCTCAGGGTCACAGGGGGTCCAGAGCCTATTGGTGCAAGGCAGGGAACAACCCAAGATGGGGAGCCAACCCATCGCAGGGCACACTCACACACACATGGGCAATCTGTTAACCCCAATTAACCTCAATATGTTTTTGGGCTGTGGGGTTAAACTGGAAAACCCAGAGGAAACCCCACAATGACACAGGGAGCACATGCAAACTCCACACATGTGGAACTCTGGTGGACACTTGAATCCTGGTCTCAGGTGTGAAGCAGCAGTACTAACCACTGCACCCCCATGCCATGCTGTGTATATTATATTATATTAATTATAGATCCACTTGAGCTTGGATTGGGTCCAGCATGGCCCATTAACCTTCACTCTATGGGCTTGAATGCCCAGGATGGTAATTTGCATAGAGGAGACACTTTGCATAAGCAGCACATGCTTCAGTGCCTTGATGGTGCTTATAATCCTGTTCATAACACTTCATGACTGACAGCTGTCTGTACTTCACAGCGACAGACACCAACACAGCTATGGCGTCTATCAGCATCTTCATTGTGGTCTTTGCCTTTTTCTCTCAAGGTAATATTCTGTACTTTTTATTGGCAAATATATTACAGTTTTAGTCACTCATTTAGAAATTCAAAAATTACAGGTACAGATCAATATAACTTTTAAACTCACTGTGTTCAGGCTAAATACATTTATCATTTATTATTGATAATTTAAGTTGATCTAATACATATGGAGTTATTCACAATCAGGGTTTATTAGTATTTGAATTGCTGTAATATTTTTACTAACATGTTTACATTTTAATCTTATTTTCAGAGTCCAATAGTCAGATCACTGTGACTCAGACTCCTGCAGTAAAGGCTGTTCCCCATGGACAGACTGTCACTATGAGCTGTAAAGTCAGTCCGGCTGTATACAACAATAATCATTTAGCCTGGTATCTAGAGAAACCTGGAGAAGCTCCTACACTCCTAATATATCTAGCAAGGACCCATTACTCTGGGACTCCATCTCGATTCACTGGTAGTGGATCTAATACTGACTTCACTCTGACCATCAGTGGAGTCCAGGCTGAAGATGCAGGAGATTATTACTGTCAGAGTGAACATAACATTGGTGGTAGCTGGGTGTTCACACAGTGATACAGAGTTGTACAAAATCCTCGCTCAGTCAGACTGCATAGTGACTGCACTGCTGCAGCTGGGACTCACTGCAGGTGCTGAGGGGGAAGTTACACTAAAGTCCCCCAGGGCAGATTAAACCAGTGTGACTGAATACACACAGATATGATCTATTTCATTGTGAATTATATACTGGGAATGTTTGGATAGTATATCTATGTTCCCTGTTCTGTCCCTTGCATAAAATATTCAAATTTCTTAATTTCATGAAGAATTTCCCCCTGGGATAAATACAGTTAATTTTAAGTTATGTACAAAAATATGCAAAACAATAATTGTAGGAGATCAAATGTAGTTAACTGAATATAGGATCCTTGCTGTAGGAGTCCAATGGGATCAAACCATCTGGAATGACATTTTGAAGTTGTTGTCCCATTTTGGTGTTTATGGAAGTTTTGCACGATTGTTTGTATGAAGCTGTTAACAGTGTTGTGTTACTAATTAACAGAATATAACATCAATCACTAGCAGAAGGTGTAAACTTCTTAATGTTGAAAAGGACAGTCTTAAATTGAATTATGCTAATGAATTAATGGGTAACAGAAATAATGGAATTGACCATTTGGAATTCCATTTGGAAATAATGGAATTGATACTATGAAGGTATTTAAGAGCTTCTTTGGGGCTTTGGCTGGTACCAGGCCGTGCAGAACCCTTGAATATCAGCATATGCTCAGCTTTTGGTGTTACAGCCAGCAGCCCTGTGATTTCCCATCTAAGGGGTTGTGGGTTAATTTCCCAGTCCTGCCAGTGTGTGTTTTCATGTTCTCACTGTATTCCTGTGGGTTTACTCTGGGTGATCCAGTACCGCCACCCCAGTCCAAACACACGCAGTTAGGAAAACTGGTGTCTCTAATTTGACTGTAGTGTTTGTCCTGTGATGGACCAGCGTCCCATCCATGGTGTATCTGCCCAGCGCCCTGTGCTTCCTGAGGGGCTCCACGGTCACTGTCAGGGGCGACGTTAGGCCTATTTCAGGGGGGCTTAAGCCCCCATAACAGGCCCTCTTCTGGTAGGGGAATGAATTACTGCTTCAAATGGAGGAGTATCTTGGGCTCTTGTTCACAAATGGGGGAAGAAGGGAGCAGGAGATCTACAGGAGGATTGGTGTAGCATCGACAGTAATGTGGACGCTGTATTATTCTGTTGTGGTACAGAGAGAGCTGAGCCGAAGGGCAAAGCTAATGATTTACTGGTCGATCTACGCTCCTACCCTCACCTGTGGTCATGAGATTTGGGTAGTGAATGGAAGAAGGGGATTGTGGATTCTAGTGGCAGAAAATGAGTTTACCCTCCTTGATGCATATGTTACAGGTCCCACCACAGGGACCGATAATCAGAGGTGATTTCCTGTAAAATAGGAGAAAGAACAGGAGAGATGACACTTGCTTTTCCTTAGTTGAACAGCTTCGCTCAGTATACTGAGGAAGTGACGTCTACTCACACTAACAAGCAAAACGTCACTCTGCCCTCTACTGACAACATTGAGGGTACCTTACTCCTTTTCCCATTCCTAATTAAACATACATACATTATAAAGGCAACACCTTGTCCATTATAACTCAAATTAAAAACATTTTCCTTTAAATAAAATAACATTCTCTTTGTGACATAAACATACTAAAATTACATAAAATTGTGACCACACATTTTGTAAGTGTCACACATATCCAACTGGGAGGAGACTCCAGGGCAGACCTGGGACACGTTGGAGAGATTACATCTCTCGGCTGGCCTGGGAACGCCTTAATTGGTATTCCCTCGGTGGAGCTGGAGAAGGTGGCTGAAGAGAAAGAAGTTGAGGCATCTCTGCTTAGACTGCTGCCCCCACTACCGTGTTTTTTGCTAAAACAGACGCACGGCAACTCTTGACCAGCAACTCTCACATACTATGTTGCCCAAATACCACAGGGAAACATTATTTCCTGAAATCCAGGAAATTTGCGCCTCACTGCTAAAACCAACGTACAGCAACTCTGAACCCCAATCCTTATAGGCCTAAATAATGATATATATATATAAAAAAACAAATGAAATACAGGTTTACTTTCGCTATTAAGTATTATTAGTACTATAAGTTAGATGTACTGTACCATTATACGGCGGGTAGCGCGGATTTTGTTTACACTAGCTACACGTGGTATCCTGCTCCAATGATGATGTCAGCGCGCACGTGTCGCTTTGGAAGGGGTCCTGTCTTCCGGAAGTAAAAACAAAGATGGAGGAGCGTGTGAGAAATCGTGAACGCAAGACTGTATTGAATTTACTACGAATACTTACGTTATTGTTAGCCTGGCGAATCAATTTAAATAATATGCTGCTGCAAATTACGTCCATGTTCGTGGCACAACGACGACGTTCTCTACATGTCTCACATCGTCATCGAATACGTGCACTACGCCTGGTAAGTTTACTAGATGTTTTTTTTTTTAAAAAACAGTGGAGCATGTTATATGTGTATTACTAGCAGCTAACAGACAATTCCCTTTTATTTCACAGACGGCGTTACGAAAGAGTCGAAAGTCTCGTATTGTGTGGAGCCATCCACGTTCAATGCACTGGTGGGATGTTATTGTTCCTGGATTTAACCCGACCCAGTTCATTCAAAATTTCCGGGTGTCCCGCGCGTCGTTTGAGTACATCTGCCAGCGACTTTCTCCTGTACTTCAGCGGTCCAACACGAACTTCCGTTTGTGTGTTCCAGTGGAAAAGCGGGTCGCAATCGCAATTTGGAAATTTGCTACAAATATTGAATACAGCACTGTCAGTCGCCTTTTTGGGGTAGGCAACAGTACAGTGTGCCAGTGCGTCCAGGAGGTGTGCAATGCTGTGATTAATGTTCTTCTCCCTATACACATCGCCTTCCCCAATGCTGAAAAATTTATGGACATGGCGGAGTTCTTCAACAATCAGTGGGGAGTACCGCAATGTGTTGGTGTGATAAAGGGAAGCCACGTACCCATTCTAGCACCAGAGGAATTTGCTAGTGATTACTTTAACGACAAGGGATGGCATTCTATATTTTTACAGGGAACTGTGGATGGAAAAGGTCAGTTCTGGGATGTTTGTGTGGGCTTCCCAGGCAGTGTGCATACTGCAAAGGTATTGCAACAATCAGACTTGTGGGACAGACTGCAAGATGGAAATTTGCTAGGTCAACACAAAATCACCATAGCAGGCCACGACGTTGGACATTACCTGATTGGAGACCCAGCTTACCCCCTTCTAAAGTGGCTCCTTAAACCTTTTGCTGACACTGAACTGCTGGCACATCCGCATCAACGATTCAACAGCAAAATAAGCAGCATGAGTTCCGTAGCTGAAGCGGCATTTGGCAGGCTGAAAGGAAGATGGCGGTGCCTTTTGAAAAGGAATGACTGTAAACTAGAGCTGACGAAGAAGATGGCGCTAGCATGCTGTGTGCTGCACAACATCTGCGAGGAGCATGGAGATGCATTCCTGGATGAGCTGCCAGACATGCATGCCGATCTGCAGCCCCCCACATCATCTGTGCCGTCCGAGGAAGCGCATGCTGAAGGAATTGCTGTGCAAGCTGCATTAATGGACTACTTTAATAGACAGGGAGAGTGAAGACACACACAAAAGATTTTTATAAACTTATTTTGCACACGTATAAACATGGCATTTTTGTATGTACAATAAATATAAAAAGTGATGCACCTGGCCATCTATATTCTTTTCACCTGCATCAAAACAATCATTAAAAAACAGGGCAGGCTAATTTAACTTCAATTACTGACATATCAATAGCAAGATAGTGTGTAGGTCTGTTTTTTTGCGTTGTGTAACAGGACAGTTATGCACTACACAATTGATATGGATGCACCTACATTGGCTGTTGTCCTTCCATGTGGGTGACAATTTGTCCCTTCAGGATAAGTAGTGCAGTTATAGAAGTCTCCACTGCGGTTACAAATGTCTTTAGTATATTGTTTGCTTGTTCCTGAAATCCAAATGCGTAGGGAAATAGATATACAAAGATATTTTGTATACGTAAGTCGTTTTGAGGATGTGGTATGTAAAGCAGTGCTGGTGGACCATCACAGGGCCGCGTCTCTGCACTGCTGCTGGTTGGAGTTGGTTAAGTGGGTCAGAACGTGCAGGGCTTCATGTTAAGTGCACTGTTAAGACCTTGTCTGTTCCGCTGCATGTTTTTTTTTTTTTTTTTTGGATTACAAAAAGGAACATCAGGCTTAAAATTCAGACATTACCAGGGTTTACATGTTGTGCATGTAGTATTTCAGGCATGCTCGATTACTAGCTGGAACACTAGTTAAATTGTAATGCTAACTTTCGTTACAATGACATATCACCCAGCCATAGTTACAGATGGGCAAAAATGCAACAAAATGTATTTTGATACAAAATATAGAATTAACTAATTGTAAAAAAAAAATAAAAATAAAATTACAGTATTTTGTATTTTAAAAATACAAAAATACATTTTACAAACTTTAATTTTATATCGACATTTAACAACATGCTATTTTTGTTTGAGTAATGCTTGGAAAATTTGATATTAGATCATGAAATATATAAATGTCTCTGTGATTTGCCATTCTGAGAGATTAGTAAGTACTTGCTTGTAAATATACTTAAAGTATTAAAGTAAAAGTACTCGAACATTTAATTCCTAATGCACCTAGGAAACACAGCAATGTAATTTTAAGTGTAATGTAACACTAAGTACAAATGAAGTAAAATATAAATGCAAGTATAAATATTTGCTGTAAGATGTAGAGTAAAAGTCAAAAGTGTACATGGCTAAAACTAAAAGTACAGATGTGAAAAATGTACCTAATGTAGGTAACGAAGTAATTGTCTACTTCGCTACTTTCCACCACTGCCTTTATGTAGCTTAAAATATTACGAGAAATATCCATCTTCATAATTTTAAAGCAAACATGGTCCAGCCCAGATGTGGAGCTCCGGTGATTTACGGCCCCACAGTGGAGAACCTCCTAGTGGACCAGACATAAACAAGCCTATGATGTCCACTGCCGGGGACAAGCAGTTCTCAGCCTCATTGTACCAGGAGAACGATGTATCATTCTGAAGGTGGGCATGTAATGGCTGAACTGTACTGTGACAACAGGCTAAGAAATGAGTGCAGTCTTTTAAAGCGTTTGTTAAAGCTTGTTAACTTCCATGCTTTTCAGAAGTGTGTCCTCATAGAATGGTGTTGCCTAAGTAATTGTCCACATTCAGCAAGTCTTGTAGACTTGTGACCATCTTCTTAAAGACTGACCGTCTTTTAGATGCTAAACTATAAGGGATACAGCAAAATCTGAAAAAGTCCATATCTGTGATGAAAGCAGTCAAAACCCAGCTCTCAGGGTGTAGCGGTGCCTGATGGTAAATGCTGTCTGGAGGAGCAGGCCGTTTGTGCTAATGAGCAGGTGTTCCTGACGAACTAGACGCTCGCTGTATATATCGCGTCAATAACATAAATGAAAGGAGCATACACATAAAAACTGATCAAAATATAACAGATCAGCTGGGTATTACCTGTCATACCTTAAAGATGAAATTAATGAGAAATGTTTTCTCATGTTACGTCCCCAGTAGTCAACCAAACAGGAAGGGAACCCACATACACAATCGGCTCAACACCTATTAGGTTAAATAGTACAAGTAAAATATGCAAACCAAGCAAAGAACACGCCACTTCTTCCCTAAAGACGTAGCTTCCACTTGTTTTATAAGGGCGGCTGAGCATTGATTGGACTGGGTGCTCCAATCAGAAGACAAGGCTCCCCTCCACAGCTGCATCCAGCTTCCCTGATGACCTAAAACAGACAATCAGTGAAGCACAGCAGTCTAAAACAAAACCCACCAATGAAGTGGCACGTAACATCCCAGCACATAACATCTGAGACCTGTGTTTCAAAGGACTGTGGCAAAGTGTTACCATCACTGTGTATAGAGAGTCTGCTGTCGACTCCTGAGTGATCAAGGCTAGATGTAATGCTTTCCCATGTAACTTCCTTTTATGGCCACTAGAGGGACACAACTGCAATTATTCCAAAGCAATCCAAGTACTGTATAGGTCTCTACAGGATAGAGTAATGGGTGTGTCAAAAGGCGACATGTCCAATAGAGCAGTCATGCCAAAAGGATATTCCTATTGGCTGAAAATACTGTCAGTTACACATGTAATTAGCATGACTTGCAACAAAAATAAGATCACTTCATATATAAAGCGACGCATTTAATTTATTCTAGGCATTTATACACTAATGCTACTAGCTAGCAAACGAACATTACAGTCACTCAGCTAGCGTTAACATTTCAGGCTAGTTCAGCTATCTCTTAAACAACTTTTCAGCATACAGGAGGTACATATCATTTCAGAAAGAGGCCAGATATTCACCAGACATATAAGTTAGGCTTGGGGTTAATCATAATGACTAAGATTAGCAGATATCTGTAATTAAATGCCTGTTTCATACTTATTCATATAGCATTAGAAATTTTCCATACTTGTTAACACGAGCTGCCATACTTGCAAAAAGTGCACAGAAAATTATTTGTGTGTTTCCACCTAGTTTGCAACACTCTCTTCTTGGCAACACGCCCACCTTTTGACATACCTACTGACCTTGCCATACGCCCATTAAGCTTCCGACATGCCCGATACTCCATTCCATTGACACACGTCTCAATCAGTGTCACAATAAAACATGTTATATTGCTTTCTATAGCTCAAAGATCATATTGTTTTGGAGTTAACATAGAACATGTATTAGTTATGTGCTTTATGAATACCTCAAGTCATTATCTTCCCCCTCAGCACCTGCAGTGAGTGTAGCAGTGCAGTTACTGTACAGTCTGACTGACAGTATCTGAAATTCGTTTAAACCAGTGTTTCCCAAGCCAGTCCTCGGGGAACCCTGTTGTGCTGTAGACTGAGCAAGTGTGTAACTGTACAGATCTCCTGAATGCTGTAGTGCAGATCTGGGAACATCTGGGAGCCCACATGCTCTTCACATATTTGTGAAGCAGTGTTTCAATCAGCTTCCCTCTCCCTCGTTCATGGGTCCCGGATCAGAGGGGATGTGCTGCCTTTTGGATCTGCGGTTTATAAAAGGTTGGTAACGAAGCTGGCAGGAGACCATGCACAACAGGGTTCATTTTAGGGCTCCTTCTAAAAGGGCTCCATTCTCATATTCAGCTCCTTCAAGTGTCGGATCAAGCAAATATTACATCTCCAAGCTTTTTTCACTGTTTATGATGGCATGAAATAGCATTGTGCTAAGGCAAATCCAACTGAGGAATTTTTAAATCCCCAAAGTTCAGCACAAAGCTTAATGAAGTGATTTGTTGTCTATGATTTAATATTCTTTAATTTAACTGGAGACATTATCTGTGCTGAGACTTAATCTCACTGGTAATAGAAGAATTTACAGTGTGTTGATAAATGATCTCGTTAACCTTTATTGTTATGCCATATTGTGACTGCAGAGTGAACACCTTGTTTCTGCCATTAATTAATTTATGTAGGTTTGTGTTGTATAACAATTAAAAAAATGTTTTTAATGCAATTTTATTTCCCTCTAGTGGTTGCAGTTAGCACTCTTTCGACATTTTTCTGTTGTTTACATATTACTAAAAATGTGTTCTTTTGCTGCCCTCTAGTGGTAGTAGCTGGCAGTCTTTTTCATCCTAAATCGCATATTTCACCATATTGTATTTACAGGTTATGGTCCAACAGCCATTTACTTACGAGCCCATGTTGTTAACTAGAGCATTAGTTGTTATCTCTGCTACAGGTTAGTAACTACAGATGCATCAGGAGTAAAATGTAATAATGGAGATGTTGAATGTGGGATGAGCCATAGATGATTGATTGATTGGTTGTTTGATTGATTGATTGATAGATAGACCTCGGCGATGTCTTCGGTGCAATGATACGATTGGTGTGTGGAGGTTAGAAGAAAATAGTTCCTACACTAAACGGCTCACTAGAAAGTGTGGATTATCTTGACTAACCAGGTCATGAATTCTGGTAAGAGACATTGCTTATATTCGAGAGAAGAACAATCTTGATGGATACATACTGTAGCACAAAAGCGTCGCTTTCAGTTTTGTGTTGAACTGCCCTTTAAATACCACTTTATGCCAATAACCCTAACCCAAGAAATGTTTGATGAGGATGCGCTGGGCCAAAGTAAAAAAAGGACGTGGTTTATTATATTATATTATATTATATTATATTATATTATATTATATTATATTATATTATATTATATTAATTACAGATCCACTTGAGCTTGGATTGGGTCCAGTGTGGCCCATTAACCTTCACTCTATGGACCTGATGGCCCAGGATGGTAATTTGCATAGAGGAGACACTTTACATAAGCAGCACAGGCTTCAGTGCCTTGATGGTGCTTATAATCCTGTTCATAACACTTCATGACTGACAGCTGTCTGTACTTCACAGCGACAGACACCAACACAGCTAT